CGCATATGAGGATCCTGCAGGTGGCGGATCATTTATAGCCTTTTCTCACAGCAGCTGGAATAATTAAATGTCCAAAAAAATCATTTTGATGGCGGATTGTGATCCAGAAAGGATTAGGTGTTTATGAAACACATGTGAATGAAATTAAATTATATTCCAGTTTCAAATGTGCTTCTGATTACAGATAGCCTGGGATTGCACAAGATTTGTATTTTAAAGAGAACCCGTTCGAAGGGAGCATAATTTGCTTTTTTAGTTAAAATAATTTCTTAACATGAAATTCGAAGAGTATGACAATTAGAGATTAGACTGAACAGAAATTGAAATCTACACACACACTATACTCATAGTCACCAATGCTGATGTTGTTAACATTAATAATTTGAGAATAAAGTATAACAATAATAATTATTTGCACGGTTTGATGTGATATGAGCTAACCGATCTTTAGATTTAATCACTGTTGGTAGCGAGATTTATTGTAATGCTTTTTTCCTCAGTTGGTCAGAACAAACGTGGCAGACTTTTTACTTGCTTGTTCAGATGGCAATATATGGTGAAAATTCTTATTAGGGTCATATATTCCAAGACGTAGGCTAGAATCTGTGATTACTAAGTACAGGATTCACACCGGTGCGGTGACTGACAGCCACACATGCTCTTCAAAACATTAGATTCATCCGCGCTGGAGCCGCGCCGGAGCACAACCCACGCAATGAAGATAATTCCGCAAGTAGCTGCAATTCCAGGTTTTCAAACGGAGATGGTGACAAAGAGGCAAAACTTACGGACTGCATCTTTAAACAAGTATATGTTCAGCTAATTGTCAGCCTCTTACATGTGTGCTTCATGTAAACAATTAGCAGATATGCATATAAACAGCCTTTTAATTAACAGAGTAGAATAATCACGGCTGATAGTAAGACATGCAAACGCAAAAGAAAACCAAACTGGACGCGAGAACAGCTGTTACTTCTTGCCCAACTTGTTAATGAAAATTTAGAGCTGGGATAACCTCCAAAACCAAAAAAGACGTGTGAGAAAACATATGTGTGCAAAAAAAATGCAGTATGTTTACGTTCTTAGGCAGATTGCCGGCTACAGCAATTTTAGCCCTGCTGAAAAAGACAACAGACACCATCACGAAATTTGTAATGGTTTTACTGGTTATAATGGTAATTGTACTGGTTTTAATGGAAACTGTAATGGTGCCTGTTGGTCTCTACTGGTAATTGGTCACCTTTAATTGGTGGCTTGATAAAACCACTAAATCCTAATGGAATATGTCCCAAAAGCACACTACAGGAAACCATTTTTTATTGGTTTTAATGGCTAAAAGTTGATGGTTTGTAATGATTGCATTGGTATTTGTAGTGGAAACCATTAGAATTTCTGTGATGGTTTGTATGGGTTTTTTTCAGCATGGTGGATAGTTTGTCATTTGGTCTTAGTGACTTAGGAGTCCTCTTCACTACTCCTAATGTTTCACAGATTTAGGAGCTAGTTTTAGTTCTAAAACACTTTGTGAAATACTCTTAGAGCAAATATTTAGGAGTCCTAAATTTAGGATTGACACGCCCATTACTTTTAAGATTTTTTAAGACACGGAACAGCTTTGAAAAGTCACTGGTTGGGTAATCCTGATGTACTTTATCATGTAGAATAAAACGTGAAAGTATCTTGAGCTTGTGTTAACCACAGACCTCATTTCACCTCATTTAACCAAAAACCCATTCAAAAAAGCCATTGACTTCAGGACGATGGAACCGGAAGTGCTAAAATGCTAACTTGCTTCCAAGTTTTGGCCAACAAAAATGCATCATAGTTCCACCACTCTAGGGCTCAGGCTCAACTAGTATGTGTCAGTCCCTGACAAGTACTGAACTGAGCTCTATTTCACACAATTATGTTAACATTTCAATTTTGCCGAGTAAATTAACAGTTGATTAAGTGAATGTAAACTGTTGGGAGAATATCGAATGTGTATCTGTGTATTGCAAGAGAAATGCTTAATTGATGCATTACTATTTAAATAAACCCTTTAGATTTTAGTCGACAAAATCTACTGTAGATTCAAATCTATTTAGTTGACTGAAACAATTCAATTCTGTCTGGTTCGAAAACAACGTTGCACAACCAAACACACGAGAAGTGATAAGGAAATAATGCAATGAGGTCAGAGTTCTTGTGCAAGACTGGGGGAAGTCGTGGCCTAATGGTTAGAGAGTCGGACTCGTAACCCAAAGGTTGTGGGTTCGAGTCTCATACCGGCAGGGATTGTAGGGGGGGGGGGAATGTACAGCGCTCTCTCCCACCTTCAATACCACGACTGAGGTGCCCTTGAGCAAGGCACCGAACCCCCAACTGCTCCCCGGGCACCGCAGCAGAAATGGCTGCCCACTGCTCCGGGTGTGTGTTCACGGTGTGTGTGTGTTCACTGCTGTGTGTGTGCACTTTGGATGGGATAAATGCAGAGCACTAATTCCAAGTATGGGTCACCATACTTGGCCACATGCCACGTCACTTCACTTCACTTCACTCTAACAGGAAGTAAAATGCAATTAAGGACAAAAGAAGCTTGCGATCCAAATTGTCTGTGTGCTAATTTGCAGCGAAAATGAGAAAAAGAAACCTTCCTTCCTTTATTTCTCGAGTTCAAATAGACCGAAAAGGAGCCTTTGCTTGCTGATATAGTGGTCTTTAACTCCTCCTTGAACTCCCTGCTGCCTTGTATCGCGCTCTCTCATTGGCTGTAGATCATCGTCAATGTAATTTTCACAGAGCAGGATTTTGAATCGCACCGATTTGATTTCAGGCATTTGTCGGCAATTTTGCAAAATCTGTTGGCGAGTGAAAACCGGGGCTAAAATCATGCAGTGTGAGCTAGGCACAAGAAAACATGGGACTACAAGTACTGAACCAAATTAGGACTAATAAATTAGACGGCAGGTGAACTGAATACAATAATCATACACTGGGAAACTAGGCCGCACAAGGCACTGAAGACAAAACCAAAAACACAATGGGCCTCATTCATGAAACACGTGCAGAACAAATTTTTGTGTAAATTGTCCATAAAGCCGTTCTGACGTAAACTTTCGAATTCATGAAACTCATGTTCATATTTTCAAAATGTTAGTTGGTATGAAAGAAATGTACACATGGTCCCTACCACGTCTAATGGTGCGTAAAGCATTCTGTTTCTTTTTGGCAGACTGATGACGCTGAATTTTGATGCACTGCCATAATAATTACAAGTTCATTTGCCCTTGCCCTCTTTTTAATTTTTTGGGGTTTGTTTGAGTTGATAACTGTAAAACGCTGCTCTCGTCACTATCACTATTTACCCATCTATAAATATAGGACGGGTGGGACAAATAGCGACCAACCATCCTACTTGTACAACAACTGCCTACAGCAATGGAAAAGTCCATATTACTGGTTACTGCTGTTTTATATTTAGTACAATTCTTAAAAACGAGATACTAGTAATATGTTGCTGCCGTGGATATTCCAAATCATAGCATCTAAAGTGTCTCAGCTGGAAAAATGCTGTGCCACCAAAACGTTTTTAAGCGCCACCAGCCGGTCGTTTTAAGAAGAGCGCCTGACATTTTTTCTGCTGAATCATTCATCATTCATCTGAATGCATGAGTTTTATTATTGAGGTGCCATGCAAACTTTTTTTTTTTTTTTACAGATTTCCACATGAAAAAAAATTGCTGTCTGAATAAGGCATGTGAGTTGATGTGATGAAATTCCTGTGCCCATAGTGTCTGCATATTCACACCAAAGTTTTCTCATTGAAAGTCAATATGTGTAGAATGTGTAGAAATCATAAGGACTTTAAAAAACTCACAGCCTGGTACAGAAGACTCCTTTGTGGTCTCTTCTTTCTTGTTACCTTAAAATGAAAGCGAAAGAGGCCAATTCTGTTATAAAACAAGTTAGTTTACCGATTACAGTTTCTTTCTCTAGCAGTGGAAATATTGAACAAATATTGTAAGTTACAGTACTAACCCAAAGTTTTTCAATCAAAGACTTCTGGCTCGGAGGCACTCTTCAGGTCGTGAGTCAGCATCTAATGTAACTCTTGTTATCCCGGATATTTAAAGATAAATTGGTGACCTCCCCAGTGAGGCAATCCAGACTGGAAACGCCCCTCTGAAAAGACAAGCTCCTGTCCTCTCGTCTGTGTCACGTCTCACCCACAGCAACAATCTTCCTGCTTTCCTTCATTGTTCAATAGGTTGTGATTCATTATGTGATTTAAAAGTGAAATGCTAACTGCTAGATCATTTGATCTTACTAAGGTAACTTACTGGGCATTTAAATACAGATGATCAGGATTTATAACCATAAGAGAAGGTGCAAGGCAGTTGTCAAGAGCAGTGATGCCAACTTAGCAAATTTGTTGTTAAATTTAGCAACTTTTCAGACTATCCCAGCAACCTGGCAGCAAATTTAGCATAACATTTTTTGTATATATATATATATAACTTTTTAAAAGTGACTAAAAAAGGCACATGTTTTCATCTAAATGACAAAAATGGGAAACGCTAGCCAGCCAAGCAGCACATCAGCCTGGAGAGCTGGAGAAACAATACACACGTCACATGTGAATTATAAAGTTGCTAGTTTCACTTGTTCAATTATAATTGTTTATTTATGATACAACATGTTGTTAGCTTGCAACTATAATTATTGTTCAGCTAAAGCATATGTGAAAAATGGAAAAGGTACTGGTAATTTTCTGCCAATACATCATATCTGTTAAGTAGTAACCCTAAAACCCAAAATTTTATGTGTAATTTAAAACACCTGTGAAAAATCAATACAGATTGCTTAATATTAACACAGTGCACTGTGCCTTATTCTTACAGACTTTTATTAGAGAGTAGGAGATGAACTCCCAGTACACTGCTTAAAACTATTATGCAAATTTATTTTTTTTTTTTTTTCAGAATCAGAATTAGCTTTATTGCCAGGTATGTTTGCACATACGTGGAATTTGTTTTGGTGACAGAAGCTCCACAGTGCGACAGAATGACAGTGACAAGACAAGACAGATAATAAAAATAATAATATACAATATACAAAATAGACAATGTGCAAAATAGCACAAACACAATATACAAAATAGACAATTTAGTATGTACAGGTATGTTAAGTGCAAATTTGAAATGTAATAAGTATGTGTGTTAAATAAATGTATGATAGTGTTGTGTGTTTCCTATTTATTGTTAAGTGTTCAAATGTTCATGAGATGGATTGCTTGAGGAAAGAAACTGTTCCTGTGTCTGGCTGTTCTGGTGCTCAGAGCTCTGTAGCATCAACCAGATGGCAACAGTTCAAAGAGGGAGTGTGCTGGATGTGAGGGGTCCAGAGTGATTCTGCCAGCCCTTCTGGATGAGTACAGTTCTTGGAGAGAAGGGAGGGTTGTACCAGTGATTCGCTCAGCAGT